TCTGTATGGTTTTGCAAAGCATATTAAGATGTAAGGAGTGTGGGATTCAGCATCTTTTAGATACCCGATTCAGTTCAGTTGAGTAAATACTTTCTACTTGTGAGAAATACAAAATACTTTGCTTGTGAGTCAAAGGAAGCTTTAAAGGAACAATAGCTAGGGTTAAAGTGTAAATGGGATACTGAATATGGGGGTTCCCCTTTGCCCAACCTTTATACCACTTGCTTATAACAAATTGAAATGTTGCCTTATAATTTGTTTATGGTGTATTTTAATTGATTTCATATAAATGCTTTAGAGCCTGTTCTGGACTCACTCTCTAGACCAGGTTGGCCTCGAACTCACAGAGATCCATCTGTGACTTAGATCCACTTACATCCACAGTGATCCATCCCAGAGTGTGGACTTAAAGGAGTGTGCTACCACCACCTGGTGATATCACATAATTTTTTAAGATAAAATTTTCTGTACCTTCTTTCATTTAAAGACTTATTTTTATTTTTTTTTTTTACCTGTGTGTGTATAGGCAGTTGTGGGTCACCCAGTATGGGTGCTGGGAATTGAACTTAGCTCCTGGAAGAGAAACAAGTACTCTTAACCACTCAGCTATGTCTTGAATCCCATCTTTGTACATCTTTATTTTATTGTATTTTATTTGTTTGTTTGTTTATTATGTTTTGAGACAGAGTTTCTCTGTGTAGTGTTTCTTTTTCTTTTCTTTCTTTCTTTTTTCTTTTCTTTTTTTTTTTTTTTTTTTTGGTTTTTTTGAGACAGAATTTCTCTGTAGCTTTAGAGCCTGTCCTGGAACTAGCTCTTATAGACCAGGTTGGCTTTGAACTCACAGAGATCCGCCTGCCTCTGCCTCCCCAGTGCTGGGATTAAAGGTGTGCACCACCACCGCCCAGCCTTCTCTGTGTAGTGTTGTCTGTCCTGGAACTCACTCTGTAAAACAGACTTGCCTCAGACTCAGAGATTCTCCTGCTTCTAGCGGGATTAAAGGTGTGTTCTTTCCTCAACTGGGAGGAACAATTCTACAAATAAGTAGAATTTTTTAAATTCTTAAGAAAGCTTTCCCCTCCACTGGAGGGAGAGATAGCCTTGAGGTGGGAAATGGAAGGAGAGTTGGTATTTATTGTCCCAAAGGCAGGTTCTGCATCCTTCCTTAGGGTGGTGCTTTGCGCCCCAGGCATGTTGGAATCACCTCTTCCTCTTGGGTCTGTATTCTTCCTTGACCCTCTGTGCTGTGGTATAGCAGAGGGCAGATGGGATCACAGGGTTCTCTGCTGCATCTACCACAGAGAAGCATGCTGGGGAGCCACCTGTGGCCAGGTGTGCCTTCACGCCACCTTGACATCGTAAAGACGTTTGTAGATGGGAGGATTGTGTTAGTTGTTAGTCTGATCTAATGCTGGCGAAAGATGCGCGAGAGGATGTGTTTCACTGAGGGGTGTGAAAGGGAGAAAAGGGGTTTTAAGTCATAGATCATTAACCGGCTGTTCCACAGCAGCCAGTCCCCAAAAAGAAGCGGGGCCCTTCCAAGAAGGTACAGATTAGTTAAATGTGTGTGTGGGGGGGAATCTTTGAAAAAGAGAGAGAGAAGAATTGTGTTGGTTCTAAACCTTGTCACCCAGAAGACGGAGATGCTGGGGTAAAACAGAGAGAAGGGTAAATAATGGTAGATACTAAAACACTAGTGTGATCCCCTGAAGTGTTGCTGTCTTCTTCAGATAATCCTGCAAAGTAGGGATTGCTGTCTCCTCTCTGGAAGTGGAGGAGCTGGGCAGTTTAGCAAGACCCAGGAACCCAAAGCTAGAGAGACAGTAGGGAATGGAAGAAGCAGGGGTTTGAAGGCCACCCCGCACGGGCTTCCAGGGTTCCTCCCAGCGCCGTTATCTCTTCAGCAGCTTCAGGGATGTGTCCGGTTTCTGGGACCATATCCTGACATGGGGCTGTTGTCTATAACCTCCTCAGATGCTTCTCTGCTCTCTGCCTAAAGCCGTGATGTTGTGCCCAAAGTGCCATGCCTGGCCGACAGGAGTGTGTTTCTGTGTAACCCTGCTTGCTACTGGGTAGCTTTAAAGAACCCCCTCCACTTCCTGGCTGTAAAATGGGAGTGAAATAGTATTTATGTCAGGAGGCGATTGTGTGAATTATTTGACCCAATGTGAAGAAACCATTTGAAGAATGCTTGCTTGCTAGTTTTTTTTTTTTTTAACCTAGAAGCTACATTCCTGATTTCATCAGAGGTTTCTATCCTATTGCTTCAAAAATTGAGTCTCTCATTTCTTCTGTGATACAACTTGTCTGAGTAGGTGGGGTCTGACTCCATCTCCTATTTTCCCATTCCTTCTGGTGTTAAAAGGCAGTGAATGGCGGATGGTTCACCTCTGTGGAATGGAAGTGCTTCTGTGGGTGCTGGGCCAGCTCTTGAAGAGCGGGCACAATATGCTTGCCCTCCCCCGCCTGTATGCAGATGTGGAGAGGGAGACTCTATCACAGCTGGTGCTGCCCTCTCAGAGCATAGCCTTGTGGGAAGTGCTGTACCAATGGCACCATGGTCCCTGAAACTGCAAGGCCATTAAGAATCACAAACCCTACTGTCCTCGCCGATGCTGTGCGTCTTTCTGGAGGAGGCCTGAGACAGCTGTTCAGCACGGCCGCCACTGTCTTCTGTTAGTTGCATTTGCTCAACAGGTTCTTTGACTGTCCCTGTTCGAGAACGTTTAATTGCAACCCAGGGTGTTGTTCTGGTCAAATTAGTGTGTGGGCCGCCTGTGGGAAAATGCCACATAATATGTTTACATATATGTAAAATACATGCCCTAAGGTACTTTAGTTAAGGCTGAGAGCTTGGGACAAATTGGTCAGTTATAAAGCAGAAATCAGGAATATTAAATTTTAACAAAAATGCATAGTTCTTGCTCGGTCCCAGGGTTTGTTCTCAGTCCTTAGAACTGTTATTCATTGACTCCTAAAACAAGGCACTATGATTATCTTCATTTTATTTTTTCGTCTACCACTGAGTTATCCCCAACCCCTGGAGATTCCTCTGATTGGAGAAACAGAGATACTTTCCGATGTTCCGTTAGCATGCCTTAGAATGAACTTCTCTTTTTCGTCGGTAATTCTGAGGTGAGCTCAGCATCAACACATGCCAGTCAAGCCCTTCTTCCACTGAGCAGCCTCCATAGCTCCAGAATTAGGTTTCAAAGGTAGCCGTCGGACTATGGAGCCTAACCACTGGGTAGATACAGACTCTCATTGTCGTGTGCTCCCCCACCCCCTGCAATGTTCTTGGACATGGAATTAATTGAAAGAAAAATCAGACCTGTCTAAACATGCTATGTCTCTGCTCCTTACAGTCTTGCCTGTAAACAGTCAGGGCTAGAACATGCATTTGGAAAACTTGGATGCTCAATTTCCAGTGTGCTATCGCCAAGGGTTTGGTTGACCCTCTTGAGTCCAGAAAGAATGAAGTCATTCTCCCATTCCCATCAGCACAGAAGTTGAGCCAAAAGAACAGTCTCCGGCCCTCTATTTGAGGGCCTCTATTTTATTGGTTTAATTTTTTTCATTAATATCTATGGGTGTTTTCCCTGCCTAAGTGTCTGTGTATCATGAGTGTGCAGGGCCCACAGAGGCCCGAAGGGAATGTTGGATTTCCTGGGACCGCAGTTACAGATGGCTGTGAGCTGCCGTGTGGCTGCTGGGAATTGAACCTGGGTACTCCGGAGGAGTAGCCAGTGCTCTCAACCTCTGAGTCATCTTTCCAGCTCTGATTTTATTGGTTTTAATTTTCGGCTTTCTAGTAATTGATAAGGACTATTTAACTGGTCTAACTTACGGAGGACAGTAGCTTATGTACCTGAGATTTCATTGACTTTTCTTTTTAAAGAAATCTTTGTTTACAGTGGGTGTCTGTGGCCTGGGAATATGTGCGTACGTATGCAGCTCAGAGGACATGGTTGTAGAGTCAGTTCTTGCCTTTCACCTTTGTGTGAGTTCCAGAAATCAAACTCAGTCACCAGCTGAGCTATCCTGAGTCATCCTGGGTCATTTAGGTACACGGTTTTATCGCAGGATCCTTGTAAATTAACAGGAGAAGCAGATTAGAGCAAGACAGTTGGCATCATTAGAACAATTCCTGTGACCACAATTTGGCCTTAAAAGTGGAATGAGGCCTGGAGTCAAGAACATACATAGCCTCTAGAAGTTTTGCTCAGAAAAGAAATGGGTTTCCTATCCCACCCCATGCCTCTGGGAGGCAAATAGCCCTGCTTACACCTTGGCTGTAGCTCAATGAGACATCTCATCTCCAGAATGCCTAGGAAAGAATTGTATGTTTTAAGCCATTAAATGCATCATAACTTGTGTGGGCAGCAATGGAACCCTACTGTAGACCCTACCTCCAAAAGACTGCTTTTTTTTTCAGTTAAGATTTATTTGTTTTATTTCGGGTGTGTCTGTGATTGGCTTGCATGTATGTCTACACCATATGTGTGCATGTCAGAAGAGGGCATCAGATCCCCGGAACTGATGTTATGGATGGGTGTGGGCTGCGTATGGGTGCTGAGAACTGAGCACAGGTTCTCAGTAAGAACCAGAAGTGCTCTTAACTGCTGAGCCATCTCTCCAGACCCCAGACTGCTATTTGACTCCTCATTGAGCCTCTAGAAGGAGCCTGGGCAGTTTACCCGGAAGTGGTAAGATCGGGATGTAAGGCATGGCACAGCAGAGCGGGAGAGAGAGGGTGGGGGTGGGGTAACTAAGGACTCAGTCACTGCTCTCGGTTCTCAGGAGAAATTGCCTTGGATTTCATACATACTTGGAGTTTCGTGACTAACATAGTCGTCCTCAGTTCCTTCTAAAGTTGATGCTCTATACAGCATCTTTGGAGTACTGCTATTTGCTAGATGTCCGTCCACCCCCGCCCCCCCCACACACACACACATGCTAGGCAAGTGCTCTCTCTACCACTGAGCTGAATCCCCAGCCTTTTTAATTCTTTAGACTGTTCCTTAGTGACTCAGGCTGGTGTCAAACTCAAGATGGTCATGTCTCAGTGCTGGAATTGCAGGTGTACCCATTGTGGCCATTTTCCTCGATTCCAGAATGCAGCAGGGGACACGAGTTAAGATTTCCCCTCACGTGCAGAGTGTGTTGAGAAGCCAGGTCCTCAGAGGGATTGACAGGGTGATAAGCAAGTGAAGCTGATAAGAAAATCCTCTTAGGTTTGGGCGGGTTCTCTGAAGGAAGTCGATAGCAACGTGGAGAGGCCTACTCCTGCGATAAGATGACTGGGTTTGTCAGAAGAGGTCGGGCTTTCGAGGCTCAGCAGAGGGTACCAGGCGTAGCCGCCTGTGGAACAGGACAGGAGATGCAAGGGATAGAAGAGCAGCTGCAGCATGAGAGGAGCGGTAGTCACGGGGTGGGGTGGGTCAGCTGGCTGACTGGCAGGGCCACTTGCTGAAGAACTGAGAGGAGGATGATGGTTCCAAATGCCACAAGAAGGCAACCTGAAGTGCATAAGGGAACAGGAATGGCTGACTGACAATGACCGACTTGTATTTGTGGCATAGCCCTCTAGCTACTGGCAGAGAGCGGTAAGAACTCCACTCTGAAGCCACGGGAGCATTCTATGGGAAAGTGATGTGGAGTGGAGCAGGGGATGGTCCTGGAGATGGAAAATGGCAGGTGAGTTGTGGGTGTGTGGGTGGGGCATGTAAACACGATCTAGTCGGAGATCTCTCCGTGGGCGGGAGCCTCGTGATGCCTGACTTTACTCTTTGGTAACTAGGTAGTTTTGGTTGACCCTTAGTGGAGATTGATTTCCGCTGTGACTGAGACGCAACTCTTAGGACCCAGGTTAGGGCCAGAACTGTCAACACAGGAGCGGCAATGAAGGCCGGCAGAATCACGTGGGGGAGATTTTGTAAGCAGGGAACTCCTGATGAGTAGCCAAGAGAATAGGTCGAGGTGGACAGCACATGGAGTTACCAGCAAGGCAAGGGGCAGGCCGGGAGCGCCACGTTGCAGGTGCAGCTGACTGTTGGAGAGAGAGTGGGGTAATCAGCTGTGTTGTAAGTCATAGTTGTTGAGTAAGGTGAGAACCCAGCCACCACTGGGTTTAGCAATGCCTGTGGTGGGTAGTGGTGAGGTAGAGCGGTTTTTTTTTTTTTGGAGGAGGGATTTAGAAAGCAAAAGCATCCATGTCCAGTACATGCAGTGGGAACCCTCTCTCTCTTTACTGCCTGGTCTAAGGATGCTCTTGTCTCCAAGTTCCTGGACTGTCTGGTCACTCTACTGCCGTATAGCAAATGCAGGACCAGGCTGTACCCTCGCCCATCTCTCTGATGCTCTCCCTCTGGCCACCTGCCCCCAGTCCCCTCTGCCTTGCCTGGACCGAGGCTTTTGTCCAGGATTACATCTCTCTCCTCATCTCTTCCCAGTATGTTTCATTTCTATCCTGCTCTGGTGTGGGAATTTTGACCCAAACCCTACAGGAATCATTTGCCCATTTCAAAAGAGCCACACACCCCTCTCCCATTCCTCTGTGTTCCGTGAGTGAAGTTACCCTCAAGTCATTCTACACAATTCCTTTATCTATCTGGTATTTTCATCAGAGTCTTGCTACATAGCCCAGGCTGGCCTCTACCTTCAAAGGGCTGAGGTTGCATATGTGAGCCACCATAACCAGAATTATCATTTTTGCTTGCTTTTTTGAAATAGGGCCTCCTGTAGCTCAGGCTAGCTTTGAACTCTTGATCCTCCTGTCTCTACCTCCTGAATACTGGGATTATAAACCCTCATCACTATGTACGACTAGCCTCACCTTTTCTGAGACATTTGTGTGACCCAATATATTCTAAGTGTCTTGAGTCCGAGAAAGCCTGTGGTTCAAGGACTGGGTAGGAAGTGACCACAGTGTGTCACAAGCTTCTTTTTGGAAGGGCTCCCGTTTTTATTTTCTCTTTTGGGTGTTACCTTTCTCACCACTGATGTGTGGTGCATTTGTGTTTTGTTTGTTTGTTTTTCCTTCCAGCCCAATCACCTTGTTTTTCTTTTCATTATCCTCCTGTTGCAGCGCCCCAGTTATACTAGTTGCCATGGAGACAGTAAATGTACTCTAAGTGGATGGATATTCCTTTAGGTAGAGGGATGGGGTGGGGGTGAACCTTGTTTTTCTGCAAATGTTTCCTAGTAACAGAGATAATTAACGTTACTACAGACTGTGATATAGGAACAACTGTGTGAGATTTACTTACTTTTTTTAAATAAAAGATTGGCTTTTGTTGATGTTGTTGTTGTCTTCTTTTTCAAGACAGGATTTCTCTGTGGCCTTAGCTGTCCTGGAACTCATTATGTAGACCAGGCTGGTCTCAAACTCACAGAGCTCCGTCTCCCTTTGCTTCCGCATGAGGCATGTGCGACCATGCCAGGCTTGAATTTTATCTTCCAAATGATACACTTGAGATAACTCAAAAGAACCTTGTGCTCCCTCTGGGGCATGTACCCCTCACCCCATCTCAATTTGCATGATTTAATTTTTATTGAAACCTGTTCTTAGTAAACTCCTTTTTTTTTCTGTAAAAGAAATGACCTCAGGAACCTTGCATTCACCGAACTGTTACTTGTGAAAGGTCTGATGATGTGGGAGAATTGTCTGTATTCTGTCAATCATATTTTAATAAGATGCTGATTGGCCAGACAGGCAGTATAGGCGGGAAAACCAGACAGGAAGTAGAAGTAATGCAATGAGAACAGGAGAATTCTGGGAAGCAGAGAAGTTCCTCAGCATTCCTGTACAGACCACCGAAGAGGCAACATGTAAGCTGTCACACCGAGAAAGGTACTGAGCCCATGTGGCTAACATAGATGAGAATAATGGGTTAATATAAGTTATAAGAGTTAACAAGAAGCCTGACCTAATGCGCCAATCAGTTTATAACCTAATGTAGACTCTGTGTTATTTTCCTTGGGACTTGCTGGCTTGTTGGGGTACCAGGCAGGACGGAAACCCCAACAAGCCGGCCCCTTACTACATATGGCGCCCAACGTGGGGCAACTGTATCCACATAAAGCCTGAGACAGCTTGGGAAGTAATTCTAGAACAAAATAACAGCATTATTCATGGTTTCTTGGTAGCAGCAATTTCTCGGGTCTGCTCTGCTTGCTAGAGGCAAGCAAATGCTCTCATCTAAGAGAGGCTTCCTGACTCAGCTTTAGCTGCAAAACCTTGCAGCTCTTTTAAGAGGTCCTGCCACGAAGCACTTAAACGATGTTGATGAAAAGCTGAATGCATGCTTTTTGGTTTTCAGCCGTAGCAGGAAAAAAGCTGTGCTGTTTTAAAATGCCGGCTTTCTGGGCTGTCCTGCCAGGGCAAACTCTGACTCTTTCAGGCAGGCGGTCCGACTGAATGTGGTCTGTGAGCAGAATGCTCCAGCTTACTTGCTAGCAAGGACCTTGAAATGCCATAGAGTTGTGACAACAAAAATGGCTACAGCCAGTACCTCCGCAGAGGCTGGAAAGCTAAGGATCTAGCCATCAAAGCCACGGCTTTCCATATTGTTTTGTAAATTAAAGACTCATATGGTCAGAAAAAGAAAAATATACAGTAAAGAGAGATTCAAAGAGGAAGAAAACCTCTAAATGGTTTACAGTATGTATATGCAGACTAAAAGTTAAAGTTCTTAAAGTTAAAAGAAAAGAAAGAGAGTAGTTGGGTGTGATGGTACACACCTTTAATCCCAATGCCCGGGAGGCAGAGGCATATTGACCTCTATGACTTCAAGGGGTAGAGGTAGATTGACCTCTGTGACCTCAAGGTGTGGTAGTACACGCCTTTAATCCCAATGCCTGGGAAGCAGAGACAGATCTCTGTGAATTCAAGGTGTGGTAGCATACACCTTTAATCCCAGCACTGGGGAGGCAGAGACAGGAGGATCTCTATGAGTTCAAAGACAGCCTGGTCTATAATGTTATTCCAGGACAAAGATATACAGAGAACCTGTCTCAAAAAATAAGAATAAAAATATAAGAAATAGAGGTTAAAATAAAGCCACATAAAGATGAAAAATAAACAGAGAATCTTGATACTGTATGCTATTATTCTCTCTTTGAATTGTTTGAATGCTGAGGAAGGAGCATCAGCTGCTAAAAGACTTTTGTTTAAAAATACTGCTGAACTAACTCAAGATAGGTATTTTGAAAATACCTTGGCTTCAAAATTGAAGTCAAAAAGTATGTTACTTTGGAGAAGAGATTTTGCTTTTGTTTCCACAGAAAATGAGAGGTTATGGATTCATTCTAAGTTAAGAAAAATCCAATATAAACAAGGAAGGCCACCTGAAAAATCTCCGACAGGAACAGATGGCCCAGATGTCTAAATTCTACATCCAAAACTGATCCAAGACTGCTGCCTGAGATGATCGAGACTCACAGGATACTCCAGTCATGACTTGATTATAACTTTAAATTTTCTTTAGGTCCCCATAAGATCATCAGCGCCCCCAACCAGCAGGAAGTAGCCTGAAATACTACGCCCACATTCCCAACAAATGGACTATGGGTATTTTTCTTTGTTTAAAAAAAAAAGAGGGAAATGATGTGGGAGAATTGTCTGTATTCTGTCAATCATATTTTAATAAAATGCTGATTGGCCAGACAGGCAGTATAGGCGGGAAAACCAGACAGGAAGTAGAAGTAATGCAATGAGAACAGGAGAATTCTGGGAAGCAGAGAAGTTCCTCAGCATTCCTGTACAGACCACCGAAGAGGCAACATGTAAGCTGTCACACCGAGAAAGGTACTGAGCCCATGTGGCTAACATAGATGAGAATAATGGGTTAATATAAGTTATAAGAGTTAACAAGAAGCCTGACCTAATGCGCCAATCAGTTTATAACCTAATGTAGACTCTGTGTTATTTTCCTTGGGACTTGCTGGCTTGTTGGGGTACCAGGCAGGACGGAAACCCCAACAAGCCGGCCCCTTACTACAGTCTGAGGTTTGCACACATACACCGATGACTGAGTAGCTGTGTTAGCCTCCTGGGACTCGCTTAATCATTTCAGTGTGAAGTTTAAAAGAAAGAGATGACCTTTACAAGTCACTTGTCCTCAAAAAATTAATTTAAGAGAAAGTGTCTGTAAAGAGAAGCCAGCATGAGCCTTTTAATATATCCAGGCTTTAACACATAGAGCCGTGGGGTGTGCCTGCCCCATTCCTATAAGCTCCTTCGTGATGCCCACCGTTTCTCAACACTGGCTTTGGAAGCAGAAGTGGAAAGAAGTGTGGTGTCAGCGGTGAGTTGCCATAGACACTTGTCAACAGGAGCTGTTAGCCCAGGCTGTCATGGCAACATGAGATTGGAGGTGGAGTTCTAAGGCCAGTCCTCGGGTCAGCCTCTGTCTGATGTTGACTTGTGCCTGAGAAGGTTCCGTGGTCTCCTGCCCTGTGGGCTGGGACTGGAAAGTAAATACACCGTGCCGAACATGCTGTTTTCTGAAGGGCCTTCGGGGTAGCCAGCCTGTGTAATTTGTTGTTGTGAATGTGGTTCCTAGAAGCCACAAGGAAGATCTTTCGAGATGAATTGTTTGTATTTGAAATTATAGTGTAGGGCTTGCATGGAATTTTGAAAACTGCTGAGAAATAACTTTGGGTATGTGGTTGTTATTTCTGTAGATGCATTTCTG